GTGCTGTCCTCTGAAGATGCCGGCCACAGAGACTGGCGAAACGTCAGGAAGAACAACCTTCAGAACAGGGCCAAAGAGCCCAAAAAACCCACAAAAACCATTCCTTGAGTGAACAGGCTAGATTGTTTTCAGGCAGGTTTTCTGGTGATCCTTGTCATTGTTGGCAGGCTGCTAGTCATTGTGCACAGATGACAGGTGCTGATGCCATCCCTAAGCTGAGCTGAGCTAGAAACGTCCAGAGAGAAGGAAGGTATGTAAGTCAAGGGTCCACTGTATATTCACTGAGGGGAGTCACCCATGGAGAAGCCAGCCTACTGTATATGGTCTTTTTTATATACATGGCACACAGAAGGTATTTTCTTCTGAAGGAGACACCTATATTCACTGAAGGGAGTCACCCATGGAGAAGCCAACCTATATGGTCATTTTTTATATACATGGCACACCATACTAGGCATTTAACCCTTCTTTTGCCACCCAAAATTCAGTTGCTTTACAATGGGGGCCGGAGTAGTCAGGAAAAGCCAACATACATTACATGTATACAGGATAATTCTCACCCAGCCCATTCAAAGTTCCAACGCTGTCAATCATCCAGTGACTGATTGTGTGATTGGCCAGGGAGTCAAACATGCTGCTCAGAGCACTGGCTCCTGCTGCTGTGCCGATCAGGTATTCCAGGATAAGGTTCCATCCAATGAAGAACGCCACAAACTCTCCTACGGTGACGTAGCTGTAGGTGTAAGCAGAGCCCGTGGTTTTGGGAACCCGCACACCAAACTCAGCATAGCAAACCCCTGAAGAAACACGCAAGAAATGTATGTGATCATAAGCAAAAGGAGATGAAAGGAAAATAGTTAGCTTTTCTGGACTCCTAACTGATAACTTGCTATACGGCAACAGTAGCAAAACTTTGAAAATTGCTTATGTGATTATTGATGATGCCACCTCCCGGAATTGTGGACATGCTCACTCAGTGGGGCCCCCTTTCCCCCCATGCAATCTGCTGCTTCTCTCCCTCCGCACCCTCCCTTCAACACTGCCCAGAAAAGCTACAGAAATGAGCTCCCTCTTGCTTCTGACCATCCCTGGTGTATAAATGGAGCTCCTCTGAGCATAGCTAAACAGGTGGCAATACTACAAAGAGTAGTGCCTGGAGCAAATCATCAGTGGATCCCTTGCTAAGCTGTGGGCTTCAGGAAGTGAGGCTTCACCAATTGGCTTCACCAATGCTTGATGCCAGCCTAGACAGCTGACAATTTATGTATTGCACACTAGCCCAACTTTCTGGTTGCTTTCTATCTTCTCAGTGGTTGTTCCATGGCTGAAGTGAGAGAAGCATCATTGCTACCCCCACTGTTGACTACCTCACCCATAATTTCATCTGTTCTTACTTCTGAATGTCTGCATGTTAATATCAGGGGACAATCAGTGTGTGCACAAATTACTTTCACAGGGAATTATGGCCTTATTCAGCCATTCAGAATCCAGGAAGAATAAATAACTGTGAGAAGAGGCCAAGCTCTTTAGCCTTGTCCCTCCATGTGCCTTCCCTTTGCTGCTTATGTGTGGAGGGTGACTCTCCTCTTCTCTTTAGAAAGCACAGCCAACTTGAGGACAGTGGCAGAAAAGTTCAAGGAGAAGGACATACCTCCTGTGTTTGATCTTTATGTGTTTGCTCAGTCTGGATTCTGAATACCTGTGTTGAGGAACAGCCTGATAGTGTAAAGCATACAGCATTCTGAAGCATAGGCAGTTTTGTTCCAGACATCCCTAGTTTGTATGGCCAGCCCTACCATTAGGTAGAGTGAGGCAGCTGCTTCAGACGGCACTTGCTGCAAAGGGGCAGAAATGGATATGTTAGCATATCCCATATGACCTCTCTGTGCTTCCTTAGTTATAACCAGTGGTCGACACTGTTCTGTCACCAATACGTACTTGAATGATAGTCATCAGCATCTGTACAAGAAATCAGAGATGGGAATTTTTTTATGGTTTTTAGGGTTTCAAAATTTGTAGCAAACCCCACCACCACCACCACCAAGCTTCTGATCTTTGCATGAGATCAGATAAGGAATATGTATCTTGTTCTTCACCTTAAGCTGAAAAAAACTGTTTTGGACTGGCCTTGCTGGATTTCAGAGTGAAAACTAGAAGAAATACTGTACAGGCTTTGCAAAACATTTAGGCGTTTCACTTAATATTTGGGACAAGCATCTTCAGACTATAATTTGCGAGACCACAAACTCTTCTTGATTTGATTTTATTTGGGATTTTTATGGCCTCTGTTTTTAATCCTTAAAATCTAAAGAATCAGTTTTATTGAATAACATAATGCCAACTTTAAAAGCATCGCTAAGCTTGGTCGTTTTTGAGAAGCCCCTTGTTGATAGTGGCGGACTTGTTTATTCAGAGCTGTTTCTTCTCTTCTTATCTGATGGACAGATTATTATTAATGTCACTTAGCTGAAAGGCAGTAACACCAGCCTCAGCTGTCCAGCACACCCTATAATTGTTAAGTGCATACACACCTCGCCTGTTTCATTCTGGAGAGTTTTATAAGCAGGTACAGCAGATGAAATATACCTCGCCAGTTTTCAGAGACACTGATTGTGCGTTTTTCTTCTGCTTGACTTCTATGGATAATTTCTCTGGATTTCTAGCAGAGTTAATTCCTAAAATTGTGCGCCTCAGCACTCTCAGTGTGGCATGAGAAAATATCTACCACACCATAAGAATTTGATTAAAAATCTAGGGATTTGGTCAGACTAAAGAAGGAAATGGGACATGGTGGTGCTGTGGGTTAAACAACAGAAGCCTCTGTGCTGTAAGATCTGTAGATCTTCAGCTGTAAGATCGAATCCACGTGACGGAGTGAGCACCTGTCGCTTGTCCCAGCTCCCATCAACCTAGAGTTTCGAAAGCATGCAATTGCGAATAGATAAATAGGGGCCACCTCGGTGGGAAGGTAACAGCGTTCCGTGTCTAAGTCGCACTGGCCATGTGACCACAGAAGATTTTGTCTTCGGACAAACGCTGGCTCTGTGGCTTGGAAATGGGGATGAGCACCGCCCCCAGAGTCGAACACGACTGGACAAAAATCGTCAAGGGGAACCTTTACCTTTAAAGAAGGAAATAGCTGTAAACTTCATCTCTCCATCAAGGACGGGGGAAACTTCACATTCCCTTTGGGGCTGCCTCCAAAGATTTTGGACAACAGGTAGACAGAAGACCATCCTGTGCTTCCTTTTCCATCTTGACTCATTGTATGTACATGGCTGATCATATACACTCACTCATACTGATTTCCATTTTCTCTCACACACACAGAATTCAAGAGATGAGAAAAGTTTCTTTTTTGGAAGACATCTCCCTGAATTCTCCATACTGCATAGCCAACTCTTTGCACTTCTGCATGCTCCTGTCCCTGAAAATGGCTACCTGATGGAGCAATTAAACGTATAGAAACCTTAACTGCAGGATCAAAAGGGTGGATTTTTCAGGAGTTGCTCAGGGTGGGTTAACCTTTTGCTTTCCACCAGCAACTCCGCCCTAAAACACCCCCTGCAAATACCGCAGTCATTTCAGGAAATGCCCCCAAATTGTCCACACTGCTTCCACAGCAGCAGACTGAACAACTTGGGGAGGAATGCTTCTGTCCCACCCAGTGTCACTTATACAATTTCTGCAAGTCCATGAACTGCATGGTTATAGTGCTCCTTCGTGTTTCACATGATGACAAGAGCAGCAGCAAGTATAACAAGAGAGGTAGGTCTTCATGGAGCAGTGAGTGGCAGTGGGGCACAACCACTTTTCACAAAGATCAAATCACACATTACAACGAATGGCATTCTAGTTAAAATGATATTAGTGTTCCTGAGCCATAATTCCAGCAGACCTTTAACTTCCAAGAAACCAGACTTCCAAATGAAGCTTCCTGAAGAACTTCTGCTGTGAAAATGAGGTATTTTTGGGCTTAAAGACTTCCCTGATTTAATCACAGACTACCAACAATGTATAATTCAGTCCCTCTTCACTCCCCTAAGAATGGTCCTTCCCACTCCTTTGCCTCCCCAAATTAGTTTTTTTTTTTGAACTGGCTTGAAAAATGTCTCTCTGCACCTCAAAGAACAATTTCTCAAAAGAAACACCAGCTCTTGACTTTCCAAGTAGGCTGACATTTCAGGAAAATGGTTTGTGGTAACTGCAGCACAAACTGCAGCACTGCAGTGAAGACTCTACTCACAACCTGAGTTCAATCCTAGGTTTAGGTAGCTGACTCAGAATTGACTCAACCTTCCTTCCTTCCAAGGTTGGTAAATTGAATATCCAACTCGCTGGAGTGGGGGGGGGGCAATGTGTAGCCTGCATAATAAAATTGTAAACTGCCCAGAGAGAGCTTTAAGCATTATGGGGTGGTGTATAAGCAGCATGCTTTGCTTTCTACTGCAGCCATTTTATGCAACACCTGTTTTGGTGATAAGACTGCTGAATGTGTAAAACTGCATGTGCAGGTTGAGGCTGATTATATTAAATGCTCCCTTTATTGAAGGTCTTGTATATTTCATGCACTTTAAAATGTGCTTGGATAATAAAAGCTTTCAAGGGGACATTTGAGCCTTTTATTTCTATCATACAACCAAGAGACAAGGAATAATGGGGAGGGGGGAGAACACCCAGCCCACAAACCCCAGAACTAACCTTCCAATCATTGACTTGCATATAAAGTCATTATTTAAAGCTGATTAAAAATGCATGCAAGCTGCAAACACAAGAGACCAGCGGATAAGTAGATGCCTGAAAGATTTATGAAACAGATGCCTGCTGGAAGACAGGTATTCTGTTCCAGGCTTTGCCACAAAACATTGCAGCAATGTTGGCTGCTAAAGGCGCAGGCAGGTGAGATTTAAGAAAAGACAGGACTTGATACACACGATATGAACTACACATTGACTAATATGACAAGACAGATGAGTACCCCCTGGTAATTTTCATATGAGAACATAAGGATCATTTTCTGTGCCTTGATGATAAGCTACAAGATCCAAAGAGGTCCATATATGCATATCAGGCACTTCTGTATGAAAAGACAGAGGACTCCTGATTTTATCTCCCTATGGCTGGTCCTTGTGCTATATGGGATAGTGCCAGGGAGGCTGGGATGGTGTTCAAGACAGTGGTAGCAAGGACGGAGAGTCCAAAGACTTTATACTGTTTTCACACAAAGTCATTGGAGAGCTCAGCTTGTGTCTGCATGCATTTACAATGACAGGGAAATCTCTGGTGAATACGGTAGCTGCTTCAGTGACTAATTAAGAACTCACACAGAGAATCATAGAATTGTAGAGCTGGGAGGGACCCCCAATAATCATTGAATCTCTGCCAAATCTCAGTCAAAGCATACCCAGCAGCTGGCCATCAAACCATGATTGAAGGAGAGTTAATCACACCGGATGGCAACCCATTCCATTGCTTACTGTTCAGAAGAGCTGAATGGTAACAAATCGATGCTAATAGTTGCTTACTGTTCAGAAGAGCTGAATGGTAGATAACAAATCGATGCTAATAATCTGAATGTCCAAACATCTGCATATGATTCTTGCTATCAATAAGCACGGCATATTGTCAAGAAAAATGTAGGTGTGTGTGCGCAAAACAGGAATTATTGTGCTTGCAGAAAGCATGTTTCTCCTTTAAAGCAAGGCCTACTTTAGCAAAAAAAAAGGAGAAGGTATTCACCCCATGTCCAAACATCTGCATATGATTCTTGCTATCAATAAGCATGACATATTGTCAA